ATTTTTTCAAAAAAAAAAACTATTTCGTTCATGTAACGGTATAGAAAAGCTGCTAGCAGGCTCCACAACTACCTAACCACATTTACCGTATCGAAATTACAATAATCGATTGAACGATATATTACGCTCGTAAATCACAGAAATCGATAATGTGCAAAGAAATCGCTACCAAGTGCTGTTATACGTGTAATTTAAGGGGGAAATTAAGAAGATCAAAAGAGCAAATAATCGATCGTGTCTATTTGTTTATGAATAAGGGAATTTCTTATGGAAAAAAGTACGGCACAGGGGGATCCGAAGAGAAGGGACCCAGGCAACTCGACGAATTGACGACGACGATTACGGTAGACCATGACGATGATGATGATGATGATGAGTACGGTAGTCAGCGATTCCACAATCAATCAATACTGCCCATGATAATCGTGAGCTTGTGGCTTCTGTTCCATCAGGGCACTCAAACGAAAATCCTATTATTATGCGATATCAGTGTATAGTAATCAGTCGTTTAATTATTTGTTATTGATTTTTAAAATAAACAAATGTACACTAATTCAAACAACTGTATTGTATTTTGAACAACTTATTTACATAATTTTATACTAAACGGAGTCAAAATGGTCATGAAAAAGACTATGCAAGAGGGAAAGAAGGTAAGTTTTGAAATTAGAAAATACAGACCACTACAGTACTCAGAATCCTGTTTTATTTTAATTTCGAAGATCTTCGTTCAAAGCGTGGCCAGATGACCAAAATATCACTGAGGGCATTTTTTGAGATGCGCCGCGTATTCACTTCCCTTTAGAATTTCTTAAGACATATGTGACGGTGAAATCGAAAATAAAATCCACGTGTTTACTTTCCCTCCACATCAGTGTTATGGAACGATGTTCACAGCATTCCGTTAAGAATCGGTCAGAAAACAAAATCCCAAATAACTATACTCTGACATAAAATTCATGTCATAGAATGGCCTATGTCCTAAGTACACTGCATTTAAGCGAGCGGTTGCGTCACGGTAAACGTCATCAGATCTCCATACCTACTAAAGGACCAAGTCGGACGCAACCAAATTCTACCCAGGTCCCAATCGTGAAAATGGTTGTAAATTTCCCCAATGGAGAAAAAGAAAGTAGTTCTAACGGTTTCAATAGAATAAATAATTCGTAAATATTTCCACCAGAAAAGGGACGAATTATTTTGTTGAAAAAAATTGCTCCTCCAAATCCTTTAGAAAACAATATTTTGAAAATAAGCGATCAACAATCTATTGATTGATTGGTAGGCTTAACACACTTACTTCGGTGTGATTTTGTCCTCGTCCGATCGACGTTTGAGGCAAGCAGCTTTTGGATTGAGATTGCGTTGTCGTACCTGTACAAAGGATGGGAATCGATTTTTGTTCCACAGTATAAGAAAGCCATACTATACTATCAACAACAGAAAAATTAATTGGAAAGAACCACCTTTACCTGTTCCTCGAGAGCGGTGATGATGGATACAGCTTGATGAAGGATACCAAGTTTTGTCTGAGCTTTTTCGTTAGCATTCGGTAAATGCTGTCCACACATCTTTCCCAATTCTTTGAAGGCCGTATTTATGTCACGTACACGAACACTGAAAAAGGCTAGCATCGATCGGATCGTAACTGTTTGAATGGTGCGGTGGCTAGAAATGCCATAAGAGTTGAGAGGCCAGTGGATCGGTCTCCATCTAGGCAGAAATAATTTGAGCTCTTGTGCTTGGTTAACCACAACGAAAGCCATCTAAGAACCGAAAAAAACCGTCTAAAATGCCTACCAACGGTGTCCCTCTCGGACATAATATTTCTATTTCATTAATCTTCGGGAATATTTCAAATCCCATACACAGGAACAGCTCTATCGTATCAGAGAATACCATGGGTGATTCCGGCATCCAGGGTGAGCCGACGTGTTGCACCCACTTGTTCAAGATATTTCGTCAAAAATCTAATTGGGTAGCATATGCAGGGCTCAAACCAAAGATCTGTTTAACTAATTAGTTGACTGCTTAATGGAACCAATTTCCACGAATCTAAGAGACTGTTCCGGTTCAGTAGTTAGCAATTTCAGGGAATTAATTTGGTATAAAGGTCATCGGATGCTCCTTGATCCTAATAAGGACCTCTGGAATGGATCCGTTCGATGTTGCGCAATCGGCAGATGGCGTATGGAAGTGGTTCAACAATAGCCGTAAATCTTTATCAGCGCTTTTATAGTCACCATCTTACGCACTGACGATAGTTACGATGTTCTATGTGAATTTGCGGTAATCACGCCAAAATAGCCCCCTGTCCAGCCCGATAATCGCCTATTGAAAATGAGTGGTTGGCTCGTCAAGCCCATTCGAGACCCTGATTGATTCCACTGAGCAATTAAAGCTCATTAGCCAAAATTCCTACTCCCTGGGCACTGACAAATGGTGCAGCTACCATATGAAGGGTCTGCAAGGAAGGAGCACCACCGAACTTCGCTCAGACCAACCCATCCAGCTGGGTTTGTCATTTGGCATCAAACCTTGACGATACCGAATGGAAGGCGAAGCCATGACGTACACCACAGCACAAACGATAAGAGTATGTTTCTAATTTACCAGCGTCAACTCCTTACATGGACCGGAAGGTTCTGATTGATTCTATTAAGCGTTCAACCTCGTACAGGTTCTTTCAGCGCCTTTCTGAATGGAATCTAACTGCCCGAAGACCCAAGAATACCCGAATTTCCCAAGCAGCACATCTTAGCCTTTTAGCCGTGTTTCGGAGTCATAGGAAAAAGCAACTGGGAGGTCTGATGAATCAATAAATTAGCGAGATTTCAACCACTAGTAGAGCTTATCCTTGAGAATGAGGCCAGAAAAACGTGTCTATCCGTCATGGGGTTAATCGTATTAGCAGACGTCGCCCGGATGACAAGTGATTTAGTGGCCACCGTGAGACATGACACTTTCACTGCCTCATAGTCTACCAATTACGTCACGATACGTGACAGGTTTACGGCAATTACGATCCCCATACCAGACTAAATCGCTGGGAATGATAGCTTTGACGTACAGGATTAACCTCTGCATGGATGGGTGGGTCGTTGAGGCTCCCAGTCAAGCTCCTATTGCCCATGTCCAACTAGACTCATTCCATTCAACAACATTTTCACTCATTTGAAGGGACGTTTTCTCTGGCAGGGAAGCAGAATGTTCCTTCTAGTACAGAGTCGTGTACAGTAACTTATTACGGTAATGATCTTCGAATCGGTACGTTCAAAAGTTAAGGAATCGTTTATCACTTGGAAATGATGAGAGCTGGGCACCTAGACTGGAGCTGACTCGCTGTGCTGGACTCGCTGCCCATGATCAGGTGGGTTTGGAGAACAATGTAGAGGGGAAGGGGATCTGGAGCAACTTACAGTCCCAAATGAAGTTTGGTATAATAACATAGACAAGCAATGGGGTAGGCTATACAACGGCAGCAAGGTACAAAAAATGACGGCTAGGAAAGGATCAAGGTGGTAGATGGCCTGGGCTTCGGGACTACTGTAGATCTATAGTTAGTGCAGAATTGCGTACGGTCCCCCATAAGAGTTCCTGCGAACCCCTTTACAAGATTAGTGCAGAATTTACAAGATGTAGTGTAGAGTTTCATAATTTTACTGTTCTCTTAAGTGCGAAGTGTTTTCGCGGATATGTCAACTCGCAGCCAATTACGGTACATACGCAACTACGGTCAACACTAATTATGATGACGTCACCAATCAAATCGGATTTATTCTATCTTTTTTGACAACGAGATCATAACTATGGGAGAGAATCTCATCTGGGCGTTGTCATTCAAACAGAACGATGGAAATCGGCACTACCCGTGAGTACCTAGCACTCAAACTATGAATGCTCACAGGCAGAGAATGTGGCTGGATTACGGTAGTCACAAAAAGTCTAGGGATAGCTAAGCCCACATAAGGACCTGTTTGGAAGTTTTTTTTCTGAAAGCCAAAAAAACTGAGGATTTTTGTTTTCTACCAGGAAAGTGCTCATTTCGAGACGGTCCCTTCCGGTGATGCGAGACGATACGATTAGGGACCCCGAAATTCTCGGCCCGATAACACTCGCCCACCCATGTCCATCTAGGCCATTACGGGCACGCGATGTCTCTTTGTATTACGCAATCTATGTGTATATACAGTGCACCCTGAGTGGTCGTCTTACGGATCAGACGAGTTTAATCTTAAAAGTGTGGGCGTGGCCAAATGTTCAAGTAAACACACGGGGTTATGATAAACTATGTTGAAAATCGATAAACAAACNATGAATATACCGTTCACGAGCATTATTAGCTGATCGTCGGTCGACGTCACGTTCATCCCCCGACTTCATATCATCATCGGATTCACCACGCGATTTCGATTTCCGTTTAGTAGAGCCACGAATTGGCAACGAACTGAAACGATCGATATCATCGATCGACATTGATCTATAAGAGAACTAATCGATGTCAATTGAACGCATCAAAATCGGAATTACAATAAAGGATTACAGAAAACAGAAAATATTAAGAAAGGGCCTCTGCATGTCTCGTGTCTCCCGTTCTCTTATTGTGTCTCCCTACCTCTTTTAGAGGGTATGAGAAAAGAAGAGAGCTCAGACATACAAAGAAAAAATCTGTGTGTAAAATTGCATTTTTTAGTCTCAGCGGCGTTCAGTACTCAGCGGATATACCACCCAAGAGGAGCAGTGGATATGTTGGTCCTCATTTGCAAGGCAATGGCTAAGTGGTCAAGGAATATGGAGCTAGGAGAAGGTTACAGAAATCCAGCTGGAGTGAACTACCCAAACAGATCAAAAGTTACCATTCATGGGCACCCACAGGTACAGTACCCGGTCATCGGTATCCTACGGGAGACTCTCGAGGTATGGTTAGGTGAGAACACTGAAATGGCGCTGTTGCCCCTCGGTGTTGAGGCTACTCAGTTCAAAGCAATGCTTTTGCCTCACCGACGGAAAAAAGGGCGGAAAGAATTTCCTAGAAGGTTTAGCCAAAAGTTGGTCTCGATATTTACCAGAAATAGTTTTATCATGAGTATGTCATCATAAGTGAACCTACCTCACAGTTGAACCCGAGGGAGCTTGTTGCATGATACAGTAATCGAAGTGTCCAGGAGCTGGCGAGACTTGAGTTGGTGGGAGACAGTGAGATGCATAGCCGGTGTCGGTTGACGATGGAGTGTCGGAAAGAGAAGACTGTAACAGAATACATTTTTAGTAAGGCAGTGGTCATAGGCGCAGCCACGATGGCACACAAATGCTGGCTCAATCTGCTTCCGCACCCCACTTCATTTCCCCTTGCAATTGGCAACACGATGATACAACAGCTCTTGGGATATCGGAAGAGCTTTTCTATAGGTCATGTGAGCATTTTTCCGGCCAGTTTGTTTTCACTTGAATTTTCCACCTTACAATTAGACTCTATTCCACCCTTATGTAAATGACTTTCTCTTTCCGAATCGCAATGATCCGTCCGATTTGCACATGAATTGCTGTTAATGTAGTTGTCATTCGTGCAAATCCATCGAAATCAACGGGGGTGACTCGTCAAAAACGAGGCCATTTCAGGCCGTGAAGAGCTCTGGTCGGTCGAGCGGCCGTGGATTTGCAAGACAATGGCAGCGCCTCATCGACGCGCAGATGTTCTCCACACTGCTCCGCGGGCGCCGAACACAATTGTTGACCGATTCTGGATCGTATGAGCGACGAATTACTGTTAGACAGGGTCAAGTAGTGCTACTATGGTGGGTTCCTAATAAACAGACTGCTTGGGGGATCTTATGGGCAAAAAATCTTTGTGAGCTTTGCCATCGATATGGGTTCGTCGTAACAACATCCTTAGAACGGACGGTGTCTCTGAAACCTTCGAGCCTCTGCATGATTTTAATTTCAGTTAAAATATAAAGCGTCATGGGTACAGACGGCTTACCACTGCAATCCTCCTTTCCCGAGTCAGTTAATGGGAACATGAATGGGCCCAAACCTTTAGACTAACCGTCCCCTGTTACCACTGTATAGTCCAAATACTAATACTGCTACAAAAAGGAAAGGGTTCATAGCGCTCTTCAACGGGCAGGCGAGAACGGTTTATCTCCTCCTACAAAGTCTTATCGACCTATTTCTTTCACAGGTTATTCTTCTCACTTCAATACTTCCCCGATAATTCGCCTATGGAAGTATTTATGCAGTACTCTTGATCAAAGCATCTTCAGAGATATTGAGGGGTAAAATCAAATCCATGCAACTTGGCAAAGTGCCAAGACTACTAAATAGATTTATTGTACCCATGGAGAGAAAATCCAGATGATCTTTACACGTCTAGCTTCATCTGGATGAATACTCTGAAAGAGTTTAAAGGTAGAGTCTACAAACACCTGTAAGGTCACCTATTCAATTACGTCAACGATTTCGCAGAAACTGGAAGAGTATGGCTAACTCTACAGCTATCCTATGCAACCAACTGCCTAAATTCAGCAAGCTTCCTATTTTAGAGTCTACTTCGTCAACTCGATGTACCGTTAGAATTTATGGCCTTGGAACCTTCCTGGAACGACCTAGCAATCCGGTAACCCCGTTGAAGTCCAGGGTACGGTATGGTCCGGGTTAAACCAATATTTAGTCGATTTTGAATGGGGTAACTGGTCTTTTTGCCGCGTCCACGGTGTTCATGCGGCACGCGTCATTGTCTTTACGTCGACGGGGCGTGTCACATCAAGGTCGTTCTTTCTTTGGTGACTCTTAGCGAGTACGATTCAAAGACTCGAGCGCACGGGATTATGATTTACAAGACCCTGTTTATACGGTGATCATCGCTCGAGATGACGGCTTGGGGCTTTGATGTCCTCTGAGCGTGCCGCCGACGACAGCCTGACCTAACCACTCGATCCCTTCACTGTTGCTCAACTCCTACTCACATAATCAAACAAATGCATACAAACTTGGTTATGGCCACTCCTATACGGATCACAAATATCCTATCGTCTCACCGAACTACACACATATCAACAGATTACTTACCTGCGTGGGATTATGATAGAATGACGGGTGGCTTAGATCGGCACTGTCCGGGAATGGATACGGAAGCGGCAAGGCCGGATAGGCGCTTGAAGCACCCGGTGTCGCTGCTTTATCATCAGGTGGCTGGAAATAAAGTCCGTTAAATGAAATAAACCAAATGAAGAGCAATCCAAGTCATACTGAAACATTCACGATATAGGTCAGTGATACGGTAACTTCTACCGTAACCCTTGTCAAAGTTCAATGGTTCCAACTATCACTTTTTGAAGATCTGGAACTCAGCCAGTCATGCTGAGCGGGCATAATGAAGACCAGCAAACAATTTATGGATGTTTTGGCATATTGCCAGAGCTTGTGTACTTGAGGAACCGTTTTCTTTAAATTTGCAGTGCCGGGAACGGTTGGGAACAAACCCCACTGGGATTCCCAAACTGTAGCTCCAGTGGAAACACCCAGACAAAAATGAGATATGCCCAAACTCTCGAAATCGTTCTTGGGCTGAAAAGGAAGACACACGAGGCGAATCCGGCTATGGCAATTAAGGAAGGAATCAAAATTCCTTGGTGAGACAAAGTTCCATGAGCAGGGAGAGTCAATCCTGAAGTCGGGAATGGGAATCATACAGTATCCGATTCATTGGTTAACAATGCTATGGTAGAGGGCATGGTTAGGCCAACTGTCTCGGGCCATCAATTCTCGAATTCATGACCACTTAGACCTTGATCATGTGGAGATTTGGCGTGGCTGGAAATGACAGCACGAACAGATGGCCGTACACAACGGCGGGATCCCTGAAGCCAGTCCATTGAGACGCGCACGGCGTGAGCCATAACCTTGTCATCGTCGGTTAGACAATTGAACGATCAAGATAGCGATCGGTTGCGTGTGCGAGTGAGTGGTACGCAGCCGTTGGCGGTGTGTCAAACGTAAAATTACGTACTTAAGTCGAGCTAATCAGAGGGTAAAGTGAGACGATTTAGTAAGCCGCCACTGAGAGGAAGAGACGCTCCGTTTTGACGTTCCCGACAATTAAGGGCTTCCCGAAGGACGAACGTCGAAAATTGGCTATTTTTAAAAAAGGACTGACCATGTAACCAGGATATCCAGGCCAAACAGTAGGCTGTTGATACATTGCGGACAGGGCATCGCTCGATACCGCTGGGTTCGTCGTCGGAGCCACATAAGGCTAAACAATTTGTTGTGAACTTACGAGACACCAAATTTCGAGGCAACAACAAAAAAAATAAATAAAGTCAAAGTACAAATTCGGTAGCCGAAACAGAAAGGCTGGACCCCTATCGACCCTCATTAGGTACAGTGCCTTAGTTTACTGTTTACAGTTTGAAATCAGCTAACTTTCTTTATAACTTTAACTTCTTTATAAATCAGGGAATCAACAAACTAAATGTTCTTATATTGACTGATTTCTATGTTGCTTAATACTTACATACCTTTCCAATTTCGAGAACGTCCGTTGACCCGGTAACATTCGTTGGAGTAGCCGATGTAACCGGTGGTACAACAGGAGATGGATATGCCGCCGGAGGAGCTGCATAATCCACATCGGCACCGGAACATAAAGGTGGATAGGGTGGGAGGCCACCTAGAGGAGCGTATGGAGGTGCACCTGAAAAAGTAGTGATTATTTTGGGATTTCAATAGTATTCAAATCCTGTCTGGGTGCATTATCGGAATGCTACGCGTTGGACCTTCCTAGGAGCTCATCTTAAGGGTGGGAGTGGTACTCGCTTGGCCCACAGGGCGGAACAATAACTAATAATATAGTTGCTTCTCGAAGCGACATGACGTTCAACACTTCCGAGCGTCACCCTTTCCCACGAATGATGGCAGATAGTCCCCATTTCGACATTTTAGGAAGTTATTTGCGCCTATTGAACACCCAGAATTGGATGGCGACATAATTCGCCCGAGATGAATGACAGCTAACCTAGCGAGACATCTTCCTCTCCATAAAACTTTAGGCCAATGAGCGGGTATGCGAACCTTAAACTCGACTTGTGGGAGCAACTATTCTTCGCTGTAACCATCCTCGATCGTATACAACCCAGAAAAACGCTTCGAAAAAACTTACCGGCTCCCCAATAACCAGCACTAATGTCGGCCATTTGCAGGACGTGCGGATCCATTGCGGAGTACGCGGAATAGTCGTACGGAGCCGCCATCGCACTCGATTTTGTATCACGTATCTGAAAATGGAGAGATATCATCGAAGAACTAGCAAGGTGGTGTCGTGCTTTGAGCCACCAACGATAGAACACGATTTCTGGAGTACTTCGCACTCAGGCGGGGCGGAAACCTTTGATTGAAGTGGATAGGTGACGATAAAGAGCAGTGAGAAGACATTGTTATCACCTGGTAAAGAGTAAGTTAACAGCTAAGCGATAATTATTCCCTGTATATCAAGAGACAGTACTTAATTAAGTGATGGCCAATGCGGGGTGCTGTTTTTCGTGTAGACAAAGACTCTGCCGACAAGTAGGATTGGAACGGAGGAGTTAGAGCGTGAATAGCCTCTTTGCTGCTCCCTCAACTGAATAATGGCCTGTACCGTATGCCAACGGCACGGGCGGTATCGATTGATCTCGGAAAGATGTAGCTGCCGGTGGTACTCATCGAAATCCTTAAGGCGATTGGGTTTAAACGCCGCTCAGCACCTCTTTTCTCTTACAGTATCGCACTCCTTGTATGGGAAATTCACATCCAAACCTCTCTTAGGGATTTCCTGAGCTAACCAAAGCTTATCAGCCCTTGGACTGATTTTATCAATTGATCAGTGTTAGCCTATGCCTTTAGTATCTGATAGATCTGTTGGATACAACGTCCATCTGATTCGAATCATTGATGAAAGGGAAATTCTATAGACTTAAAATCTGTTAGTAAGACTCAGAAAAAGTGCCATTGAACATTGAAGGACGCCAGGTGGATCCTGTCACGATTTTCAGCAAGACGGTGTCTAAAACGCCGGACCTGCGTATTGCCATTCAGTTATAACTGAAATGCAATGTAAAATCGACACATGCATAGGGACTTAGCACGATCTTGTGGTACAGTATCTGGTCATTCGGTCAGGCTCCAATATATTTATTTCGTTCCTCGATTCCTCTCACAGATTACCTACCCTCAAACCCAGGGAGAGAAGATGGAGCAGAATGCTCACGCTTGAGTTGTGGAAATAACCTCTATCCCAACACATTAGGTCCTAACACGGTCAAGCGAATACTTTAGTCGAAAAAATACATCAGACATAAAAAAAAACTCTTGCTCGACAACACTTTGACCCACTTATGACACCTGCTTGTAGATCCCGCCAAGATTATCTGATACCGTACTTAACAAGTGTTGTCACTTGTGACAATACAATTTCTAGTTGGCTTGTAAATTTGGACTCTCCCTTTGATCGAACAAAGCAAACAGAGTGTAATCCATTTAACCCGACTCATAAATTGGCCCATCCAACTGGGCAACGGCTTCGCGTAACGGCGGGACCATAGCAATTTCATGGCGAAAAAAACAGCGACCTATCGACAAAAATATGTAAATGTCGGGGCAAGGGAAGGGGGAGAGCGGGGAAGGTGAGGGTGAGGAATTCGAAAAAACTATCTACGCTTCATCAAATCGATTCGGGGCACATCGTGAAGGCTCTTTTTCCATCATGGACATAGCTAGTAGTCAGTCAGTCAATAGTCATTAATGGACTGTAGGTTGAGTAGGATTGCGATGGCATTATCGATCGTTAAATAGCACTATGGTGTCAAGCAGACAGACACATACACACACACCCATATACACACGCGACGTACACACAAAGATATGAAGGAGGGATACGGTAGCTTAGCGATGCAACCACGGGATTCAAACAGCTGATCGCTGCGGGTTTGAAAATGTGATCATGTGAAAGATAAGAAGGATGTGTGATCACCGATCGATACGTATCTTTTCTATACAAAAGTATTGAAGCTACAAAAAGTTTAACAGATGTTTGACTTTCTCGTACATTCTGAGCAGATATAAGCCATATCCACATTTTTTGAGTTTTTTCAAATTTCATTTTTAACATAGGAGGCTTCAGAGGCAAAAAGGAAGTGAGACTGCAGACGGGAGCTTTAGCGAAGCGAATTCGCCTTCTTGAACTGCTATCTTTAGCATTGGTTTGTATTCCTAAATAAGGAAATTAAAGTTGTGAATGAAAGTTTCCTGTTTCAAACGGGCTGACAGGGAGACTCCCCAGGCAAAAACGGTTCCTCTTCGACAAGGAATAGAATTTTCAAAGATTTTATTAGTAAGAAAAAATTGGAGTAAGAATGGGACTGGTACAGCATTCCCATGAGAATAGACAAAAAAAAGTGTAGGGAGGCTGAAAATGACAACTTCATTGGAAAACGGAGAGTGAGGTTCTTGTAGATAATAAACAAAAATTTGAGAATTTTCTTCGAAATAACTTCTTTCTAGTAATTTCCTGTCGAGAAACCATTACCAAGAAAGAAATTAGCTTGTCGACATGTCGGAGTGAATTCAAAGGAAAAGGAAAAAAATAAATAAAAGATAGGAAAAATGAAAGAAATTTAATGGAAGGATGAAAGTGACATCTGGCCACTGGAAGAATTAGCGAGCTGGATAATCTTCTGAAGCTCCCGACAGTGTAAAATTGCAATTAATATAGTTGTAATAACATAAATTACAAGATTCACTGATGTCTCAGATTTATGGATGGAAGTAAATCGATGAAATAAATACCTATTTATTAGGTATCAAATTCAAGGCTGAATATCTTTCAGCTCTATGATTCCACTTATTTGCGGCGTCTTCGCACCTTGCCTAACACCTTGCCATAATATCCTTATCAGCGGTACGGTATCGCTACCGTAACAAATGTGTAACAACAACAGTATTACCTGTGATAGCGGTGGATAGGTAGTGTCCGTCGTACCGGCGTAAGATGATGGCGCAAGCATCTGATCACTCTGTTGTAGTGGTGGTGTTAGTGGAGCTAGTCAGCTAGCAGCAGCGAGCGTGATTCGAAGAAAAGAAGGATGCAGGCAAGAGGCCTAAGCACAGGGGGAGGAGGAGGGATTGGCCGAGGTGGGAGGGGTCAAGCGCGCCTTTTAGAGAGCCACAACCATCAGCACCGAGAAGAGGTCAACGTCGTGCAGAGCTGGCCCCGGCCTGCTGGCTGGGCCCTCGCTGAGTGCGACAATGCTATCCACCTCATATATCCCCGAAATGGCGAAACGATATGTCTGCGGGATCGATTTCCGGTTCCGCAATCGAGTAGAAAGATCAATATACATCTATTGTTTGTTTAAGATGCCACTAGGGCTAATAGGCCGATCTGAGTTAGTTCCAGATGGGCAGAAAAAAAGTTCACGAGCGGTTTTTCGCTATCGAACGACTAGTAACGAGGGTGATTAGTCAGGATGCGACATCTTTCCTTCAAAACCTTAGAACGTCGGTCCTATGTGGATTCGGAGTAATAATATCGATTGAAGTAGGTNCTGCGGGATCGATTTCCGGTTCCGCAATCGAGTAGAAAGATCAATATACATCTATTGTTTGTTTAAGATGCCACTATGGCTAATAGACCGATCTGAGTTAGTTCCAGATGGACAGAAAAAACTTCACGAGCGGTTTTTCGCTATCGAACGACTAGTACCGAGGGTGATTAGTCAGGATGCGGCATTTTTCCTTCAAAACCTTAGAACGTCGGTCCTATGTGGATTCGGAGTAATAATATCGATTGAAGTAGGTCAAATTACTTCTGAACAATCATTTTGTAAAGTGCAGTTTCAAATGAATTTGCATAAAGCCCACCTAATGAATTAGTTATTCCGACGGGGCAGGAATCTTAGCCTGTTGTACGACCCAGCAAAAGCACTATCAGTTAGGAAGCGGTACGGTAGTGGTACGGTATTGCCTTGGGTTTATTCACAGTTGAGGAGCTACTATCATTCAGTAAGCTATCCCCAACTGCCTATACCAATCCTTACCGTATAGCGGAGGCCCTGAGTGGATTTCGAATTGAAATCTGTTGATGGCAATGTCTAAAACCTGTTTAAGGCTTAAGCGGTGTAGTGGTTAGCGGTTTCGGCCAATTAATGGGTGGTAGAAAGTTCCATCATCTTACGGGCATTTCTAGCGGTCAGTGAGTAATCTCATGGTTCTGACTTGCTACATGTAGCCTTAGAATAATCAATAAAATCAATAAAAATAACACCTGAGCACGGTATCGTGAGATAGGGTGCAAAAAATCACTTTTTTTCAATGAAAAAATTCCCGTTTCAGTCGTTCTACATGTTTGAAGGACTAAGGGGTCCTCTCCTTTTGCTGGAGAGGAAAATCGTGGATAGATGATCCACGATCCCAGTAGCAGTACGATAGTAATGAACTGCTAGAGTTTAGAGAAACAGATTTTGTCATGTGCGGCACAGTTTTCCATCAAATCTAACATGTCAACCATGTCAAAAATGCAGATGCCGCACGGTTATCGTGCGGTCCCTCTTATGTCAAGGAAAAAATACCTTAAAAATTATTATTTTAAAGGCTGCATCAGCATTTCCGGTATGCACCTGCCTGCTACGGTCAACGGCCATCTATCGGGCGATGTAACAGATGAAAGACAAGTTGGTGCTTGGTACCGGCGGCTGAAAACTTTAACTTGACTGACTCCGACTTCAATAGCGTTATGCCGCCTCTATGCCGTCGTCATCGTCGTCAAATTCTGTATAATGTTCGTAATTTGGCGTAATCGAATACGGTGTCCTTGACTTTTATGCGGTTTTTATGCGGTGGTTAGGTTTCTATCGAAATGTCATCTGTTCAAATACGATGAAACATCGTCAACGAGATATTTAAATAACCTTTAGTAGCCTTACTCAATTAGTTCCTTTGTAAGTAGCTTTTATGGCCACAACTATGGACAGATTAGGCCCTGGAGAACGGTCTATTTGAATTGATGACAAAGAACCAGGTCCTCTTAGCTATTTACTTGCCAGAGAAGTGGATTTTAGATTCGAATTCCCCATATCATTAACCCGAACCCCTAGAATCGATCGTTATTGATTGATCCGAAGAATTTTGTTAGCGACGACAACGTCCATCACTCAAACGTTTCATAAAGCGAGCGAGCAAAGGGGCCAGATGGTCGTCGTAGTCGTAGCGTCGGGCGATCGCGACGACGACGACCTCAACGAACCGTTTCATAATGAGAGCTCGTGCTTCCTTGATGTCAGCCAGCTTCACAGGGACCAAAAACCTTTCGCCCTTCAACATCTCCAGGAAAACAAGTACGGTAAAAACTATTCAGTAAGGG